ATTAAATAACAGAAGCCTTAGCACCAAACTCATGGACAGCACAGCTCCACAGAGCTACGCGTTGGCAGGGTCCTTAAGCAGGATGCCAAGAACTTTGCATGGACTATGAGTGGCTTTTCAAGGCATCTTTATCAGACACCTACCATCATGAGCTGGTAGATGAAGAGAAGTGAATTATTTCCACTGTTTCCAATCCTGATGTTCTTAGATTTGTGACTTAACAAACAGCTAAGAGTAAGTCCACTTAACACAACAAATAGAATTTTTCTAATAATACTATCTAAGAACATATTATAAACCACCTTGTCACATAGCTAAAAAGAGTAAGAAAAGCAAGGTGCCATTAAGCAGCTGGGTGAAGACAGGGACTCAAGGGATTCAGTTCTCACTGAAGTGCATGAACAAGCAGGGACTTCCAATGTCGCTTCCTGGTACATTTTTAATTTTCATTTCACTTTTTCTTTCTACTTCATGGTGGGTTTTCTTCATTTCACAGTTATTGCAAGAGCAATGTTTTTATTAGGTACTACTGTATTTGCTGCTGCACCCCAAAGCAGTTCATGTGAGCTGGTTTTGTAGCTTAAAGTCTCTTCTCCCAAGCATAAAAAGCAGCACATAATTCCTCAAAACGCAACTGATCCATCACATTTCTAGAAAGACAGACTACATAAAATATTGTACTAAGTGCTGAATGAGCTGAGTTTGGGAACAGGCAGGGAGGAGGAAGAGGAGTAAATTATCTGGTCTATAAATTATCTGGTTTATTCCATCAGCCACAGAAGGGTGCTGGAAAATTCTCCTTGTCCTGGGAAACCCTGGTGGCAATGGAAAGCTGCATGGCAGCTCAAGCACTACTTCTGCTACCACCTGAAAAAGAGGTATTGGTGAGGAGAGGTTGCCCATGGACCTGAGGCTGGTTTCTGCAGCTCCCACTCCAGCTTTCCCCACAAGTGCAGCAGATAGAGTGTGAAGAACGGAGGCACTGCTTTTTCAGGGTGAACAACTGGAGATCACCAGCATCACTAGCGAGACAGGGCATGAGCTGACAGTGATATTAAATCTGTTTTTACTTACAGCAAAATTATTACTAATCAAGCAATCTTTTTCTGTAACATACCCAGCTGGATGGTGGTATTTAATTGCTTTGTTTTAAAATACATACTGTGTACAATCTGCTTTGCTTAAAACATCAGGCTGCAGACCTGAGGACAATTCAGTTCAACGTTAGTGAGGCTACAGAAGATCAAACTGTCTCTTTTCTCTCTTCTTCCCACACCACCCACAGTGAGGAGACCTTTCTATGCAACCGAAGCAAATGAAACTGCAGGAAGAGTTCTCAAGTAATTTTTTGGCATGTGAGTTTTAATTTTACACGTATCATCTGATTAGGCCTGGGTTTGCATGTCAAGTTCACATACTGTTGTGTAATCAAACACCCAATAACAGGAAAGTTACAGAAATTCTTTAAATCTATCAGATGTTCATATAGCACTGTTGCAAACCATCTGGTCTCACTTATCTGCTAAATCAAGACAATGGGTGGTATCCATCATTACTGATGAATGATTCATGGTAACATATCGGTATCCTCTTGACCCATAGCTGAGGTAATGCAGAGTTCTCTTTTGCTATTACTTTCCCAGAGTCGGTTGATTCACTACAGAGTAATGACTAAAAGTCAGGGTAATATTTCCAAAGACTGAATTCCCTAAGTAAATCTTTAATATTTCACATTTCATTAACCATCCACCTCTTGTTAGTCTGGAGATGCATGTGCCTTACACGTTACAGTGAGTGTCCATTTGACCTGAATGTTAAGTGCTTTTCATTACTTTTTAGATCATGAAACCTTTTGAAGACAGACAGTCCGTTGAGTTTTTAAGTCTGCAACTACAGACACTGCTGTTGGTAAAAGTGTAGGCATGGAGATAAATGTAAACAGATGTTTGGGGTTTATTTTATGAAGGGAATATTTTCTTTTCAATGCCCACATTAACGGAAGTTACGCAAAGGCAGTGAGAGACTATACCCACCGATGATTAATCTAAAATGTCTACACAACTTGAATGAAGCGAGCACTGAGTACAACTGATACTGGAATACAATCAAGACTCTATCGTTGATCTTCTTTATTTTTTAACAGCCCTCTAAACCAATTTTGTGTTGGGTGCTGGAAGCAAATTTAACAAATATAAATATAGGACCAAACTTTGCCAGCTGCTAAAAATGTGTGCAACTCCCACTGACTTCACCAGAATCATATGCATACGGAAGCAGAATCCAACCCTTAGTAAATATGAAATTATCAAGATAATAAAATAAATTACTTCTGTGGTGTCAATTCTTTAATTCTTTACAAAGTTCCAAATTTGAATATGAAAGCTGTTGGCTAAAAGATGTAGGATTATTCCCATACCCAGTTAAAGCAGAATTATTTGGAACATTTTTTTCACAAGATGCTGTCAGGAACAGCTTGATTGCTATCTATACTCTCTCAGCTCCTCTCTGTAGCAACATTAGCAGTTGTCACATACAGGATTATGAAGTCTCAAAAACTCTATAAAACTACCAATTTTAATTACTGGAATTGCCAAACTGGTTTCATACCAATAAGCTTGATATTGTTGTCTTCATCTAGCAACAGATTTTCTATCTTCAAGTCTCTGAAAGAAATAAAATATTTTGAGTAAGCCTCCAAAATAATGAAGCAGCTTCCCATCACTCTCATCAGTGTATTTACAAGATTCATATATAATAAAGCGTATAATTAAAGCAGCACACACAGTCTCACATTCAAAGCAGAAAGCCCCGTGTATTGTCTCCTCTCCAAAATTACCAGTGCTTTCACACACAGTTTCACACCTATTCTTCAGGCACAAAATTACTTTATAAACATTTGTCAGTACATTCTGTAATCAATCAGATTCTTCAAATTTATCTTGTACTTAAAAGTTTGCAGATATCTTATACCCGATACTGGAAACATTTCAAATATATGCTTTCTGGAACTGGAAGTCACTTTCTCATTACTCGTCACAACCAAAAGCTCTTCACTGGCTGAAGAATAAACCTTCATCTGCAGAGATCTGAGTTGTCAAACGTCTATCCTCTGCTATCGTCTACAAGGGAGACCAGAATCAACCTTCCCTGGGGATGGAACATCCAAACTCCTTATAGAGGTGGTCAGCATTGGTACTCTCACACACTAGAGGTGCAAACTGGGGCTGAGGGATTGAAATTACTTGCCCAATGCCATCCAGAAGGTCAGTAACAAAGCTGAGAGAAGAAACCACACAGGTTTTCTAAGTGCTGTGTTGGTGCTTTCTCCACCATACCACCCAGTGTGACCCCACAGACCCACCGTACAGATCGGGGCCTGGACCAGCTTTGGGAGAGAGAGGATAAAATGAAAGTGGTCTCCTTCTGCAAGATGACCAATGCTTCTTCTGATACGTACATCAGCACATTGTTCGTTTTTTGTGTTCCTTTTCACCACTTAAGAACTTGGCTGTGTTTTCCTAAGCCATGTTCTACCTAAGAAAACTACCCCAGAGATCACAAACACACACACACAACCACCCTGAAACCCCAAACTGTATGGACTAAACATGAAGTATAATATGAAAAAAATAATGTAGGTTGCTACACAACTTGTCCATGACTTCTAGCAGTTGGCTGTGTCTTATCACAACAGTTCTTCCCCCATCCAGATATAAAACACTTTTAACAATCAGCATGCCAGCATATCAATAGCTCAGATGGGCAGTGATGCTTCTCCCAGCACGCTTTGGAAAAATCTGTATAATAAAGCCATCAGCTATAATTATGGGAAGTCAGTGACATCCATCATAGTTTGCCTTTGTAAGGCAAAGGGAGTAATGAAGGATGCCTCTATTATAGATTAAGATATAAGGCTTAATAAAATAAGACAAGTAAACCAACAAAACCAAACAAAGTACTTCCACAAAAAAGAATCTAGGAAAGAAAGAAAAATAGCTGTGACCAACTCCAAGCCTTTTTTAAAACGTTCCTCTCCATTTCATTTTATGCCCATGCTGTGTTTCAAATAAACCTGAGGCAGAAGAGTACTTGCAGGTAGGATGGCACTCACTTCATCAATATGACCACAAGGATCTTCTCCAAATAGATGTCTCTACACCCCAGTGAGTATTTCTTGCAGATTTTCCTTGTTTCACGTGTGAAAAGAAATAAGGGAAATACTATACAAATCTACTGAAGGAGAGTATTTTGCAAATTTCAGGTATGCAGGGGTGATATCCAGACTTTCCTAGAGCATTCAGCCAAACACTTCCTAAGGAGGTCTGCCTTCTGCACTAGCCCTCATCTAGGAGAAGCAACACAACTCAGTCAATAAAGTACCAGCCTGAGAGACAGGAAGAAAGGATTATGACCCCTCCTCTGGCAATAATACAGTGTGTTAACTTGAGGAAACCAGCCACATTAAAAGTGACAGCTAATTTCAAATACCAGGGCAGAGATGTAACCACATTTGGCCATGTTTTGACCAAGACCCAGCCTACAAAGAGCCCACTCTCCAGCCCTTCTCCTGCTCGGCTGGCATCCACGGCATCCCTCTTCTCATCCGCAGGATACTCCATGTGCCACAACAGCGCTGCAGACTCACTGCCCTATGTCCTTCAAAAGGAGTTTCCCTCATGGGTTGGGGAGAAATGGCTTTATAGAAGGAGGATGTGCCCTGCCAGATGGATCCGGATCAACTAACTTCTGCTTCCCTTTACCACCAGTAAAGGGCGTATTTCTTCATGTCTCACATCTTTATTGCTTGCAGGTGGTGATTTTCACAGACAGTGTGATTAGCCTCTATAAAGATATCAGGGCTGGGAAATTATCAGGAGAGACTGCCAAAAAAACAATATGGGAAAGAGGAAAAAAAAAAAAACCAAAACCTGAAATCAACACATGGAGCTTTGGGTCATACACTGCAATGCTCAGTACATTTCAAAGCAAGAAGAAAGACCATTTGGAAGCTCTATTAAATATTAGCTAAGAAGCCTAAGACTTTAAAAATAAAGGCAAGGGAAAGCTGTAAGTTGAGGAGAAATAACACACAGGCAATTTGAATAATAAATGAGTGACAGGAGGGCTAAACATAAACACAAGAAAAGATATTTAAAAGTATTCAAGGTTAAAAAGCTAAAGGTAAATATTACAGGGCATTTTAAAGCTATCAGAGGAAAAAAATAAAAATTTAGATATAGCCTCAGTACAGGGTGCAATTAGACCTGGTTAATTAAAGATGTTTACCCATATGTCTATTCTCAGCAGATTTGCCATAAGTGGTAACTGATCTAATAGTCCATATGCACCACCTTTTTGTCAACCTATGTCAATAAGAAAGCACAAAGTGTGATCCCAGGAGTTAGGACAATAGGTTTTTACTCCTTGACACAATCTAATGAGAAAATTCCACACAAACCAGCCTTAGAAACGCAAAGCAAAAGCCATATGAAACCAAGCCAAAAATCCCCAGACTAAGCCATAGCTGGAGAACCGCTGCTACACAGATGTGGACCCTTAGACAGGCACCAGGCAGGATCCATGGGCAGCTGAATCCCCTGCAGCAGGCTGGCAGTAGGACATAGAGATGGCAGGTACCTGCAGCCAGGACAGTAGAAGTGCAAAAAGAGCCTGTGTGTCTGGACAAGATCCATGGCTGTCAGGACAGAAGGGTTATTCAGTGAATACTTTAGATGACTTTAACAATGCACCAGAGTACCCACTATTTCTTCTTGACAAAAAGTGCAGCAGTACTATCCAATTACATATCTGCCGTAGGTTAATCCTGCAAACAGCACCAATTTCCCCAGGGTTCCTAAATGCTTTATTATATCAGTTCTGTGCAACTCAAACTTTAATTATTTTTTACAAAGAGAGGCTTATCTGAGTTGCTGCTTTGTTTCTATGTTTACATTAATTCATTGCAATGAAAAAAGTAGCACCATTGCACCCAAAAGTGTTAGGGAACCCTGAATTTCATGCACTATATTATAAATAGTTTAACAAATAAAAGCAAATATACCACCATATTTTAGTCAATGGAGTTTTTCGCATGTTTTTAATAGCTGCATACTGCAAGGGAGAATGCGAGTTACCAGCTATGACACACACAGCAATTGAAGTCCTTGCTGAAGTCAATGGGAAGACCCAGAGCATTGAACATCAGGTGCACATGCTGGTCCCTGCAGACTCAACGGTCCTCCTAATTATGCACGTGGCTTGCACTTCTTGGTGGGTTGCTAGAGTGGACACAGCTGCTTTGGATCTGGAAAGGCTGGGCAAGCACTCCCTTATGCACCCAGCAGCCTGTGCCACGCCGTGTAGTGGGGAGAAGAAACGTAGTTGTTGGAGACCTTCAGTTTCCTTCCTTGAGGTAAATCTGATCTTGTTCCTTACCGTCTTGGTGCCTGAAAAAATGGGTCTAAAGGATTTTTTTTTTCCCCTTATGGAAATTGTTGGCATTAATTGCTGAAAAACTTCAAAATACCAGAGTGCACCCTCAGTGACCAAATACCAGAGGAACAAAAGCTTTCACCTTTTTTCTGAGGGCTTAGTTCCATGACGTTGAGAGTGTCTAACAATGGTACATGTTAGCCAAATGTATCAACAATGAAGACACTCAAGAAAGATCAAGCTGCATTACCACAATGGAGACTCAGCATATATTTTTGCCTTGTCAGCGTGTGAAGCTAGCAGCATACAGTCATTTTTCCCTGTATTTGAAAACATGCCTGCTTCATGGAATGGTTTGTTTGGGAGTTTGTTCTGCTGTTGATGGGGTTGATTTTTGTTTGGCTTTGCTCAGAGCTTCACAGACCACTTTGGAAATCCCAGCTCCAGCCAGTGACTCCACCAAGCGACATCAGCCTGCTTCACTAAGCGAGCCACCTCAGGCTTCAGCTGTCAGCTCAGCGTGTTTCTGAAAGAAGCTTATTCAGTGCCATTGCAGGCATCAGACAGCAAAATTGAAGTTTTTGCATTTCACACTTTATTTCTTGTCTGGGGGAGGAGGGATGAGAAGGAAGGTTTTACCAGCAAGCAGCTGCAAAGCAGCAGTGTTTGGCTGCTGTCTCCCGCATCTTATTTTTAACCAGAACAGCACCACAAAAAAATCACTCCTTAACAACCAACCCACAAGCCCACTTTCTAGCCCCATGCAAGAGCCAGAGGTGAGCTGGAAAGATTGCAGAGCTTTTGGTTCATCATCATATCAATACACGTTTCAAAGGCTTTATTATCAAAATATTATTTATTGAGCCTGATCCTTCTATCAATCACAACGTCACTAAATTCAATGTGTTTGCCTCTGTAAAAGAGGAATTCAGTCTATTGTCTTCACTAAAACAATATTTAGTTTGTTTACAGCAGAGTACTCCAAGAAAGAATGCCCAAAGGTAATTTGGAAATCTGACATAAAATAGACAAATCAGTTTTGCACTTCAAAAGGAGACTTTGTTCTGTAGTACAAGATCTGTCATAAATATTGCATCAGCAGCCAGACTACTGGCACTTAAAATTAATAGTATGGAAGTTATCAAAGCCAACATGTCAAAGTAGTGGGTACCAAAGCAGGAATCCTGTAGCACCCTGAGCAA